ATATCAAGATGGCAAGATTGGGAAGTGGCAAAAAGGAGATGATCCACAGAGTGGGAAACAGGTCGTAGCACCAAGGCCAGGCTGGGCTCTCCTGGATGGCAGGGGCTATCCTGAAGGCATCAATACTTTGGGTCAGGAAGGAGAAAAGGCAGAAGAACAGCAGGCTGGCTGTGACCATCAGGAAGGACAACACTGTCCAGAACTTGGTGTCCAGGACGATCTGGGGGGACAGGGGCAGAGCACGCAGTGTCTCACGGGGGCCGTGGTGGCCCTTTTGTCCCAGATTCCTCCTCCATCCCAAGGTGATCATCCCCCAGCCATGAAGCCACTGGGGAAGGTGTCAGAGCCCAGAGCTGCAGACCCTAAACATCTGCTGTGGGGACCCTAAACATCTGGGTCTGGGGAGGAGCAGATCCACGCTCACCTCCACGAGGACCGAGAGCAGCGCCGACACGGCCACGGTGACGGAGAAGGACTCGTAGTCCCCGACAGCTTTGCTGCCAACGTGGTCCTCGAAGGCCCAGAGGGCGATGTAGAAGCTGGTGAGTGAAGTGCCAACCCCATGCAGGAGGGTGACCCCGAAAACACGGTAGTTGAAGAGCTCGTCCTGCTGCCCAGTCACGTAGAGCTCAGGGAACTCCAGGCTCTTCTTGGCACTCACGTCCTGCCAGGAGGGCGCCGGGCATCACAGAGGGGATGCAGGGGTTGGGGGAGCAGGATGGGGCCACCCCACCCCACACACCCCCCGGGGGAGCTGCAGGGGGTCCCTCTGCCCAGCGGCTCTGGGGTGGTGGGGAACAGGCACCCCAGGACTGGTGAGCTCCACGTGCCTCTCGAGCTGCCAGTACCACACCAAGGGTGGTGCAGATGGAGTGCAAGGACTGCCAGGCTCATTCCCACCCCCCAGAGATGCAGCCTCTGGGCACAGGGAGGAGCCCAGTAAATCCATACCTGCTCCAGGAGGCCCACGGACAGCACGGGGTAGGAAGTGTAGAAAATGTTGTAGAGTGCGAGGAACCAGCCCTCGAACAGGGGCTGGAAGGGAAGAGGAAGCAGCTGTGAGCTCAGAGGTGCTTTGGAAAGGCTCAGAAAGGAAGCTCAAGCCCCAGGGGTGAGTCCAAGAGACACATCCAAACATGGAAATTCCCGTGGGCTTGGCCCAGGTTCTGCATCAGCCCCACAGACAACATGCTGTGGTGCAGGTGGAGGTGGGGGCTGGAGCCCTGCAGTGCTACCCAAGTGCCACCGATGGCCTTTGGGAGAAAAGCTCCTATTTTGGAAGAAACCACGTGGGATCTTTCCCTGCGTCTGTCCAAGGCTGAGCTGCAGCTCACAGGGACATCCTGAACCTCCCCAGGGTGCTTCTCCCAGTCCAGCCAGGTAAAAAGCAGACAAACAGTTACAGCTCACCCAGGCAACCCCAAAAAATCAGACATGACAAAGGAGAAAGAGGACCAGGGTGGTGACACTGTGGTGAAGCTTTTTTTGCAAGACACAGGAGGCACCTCTGGCACAGTACAGTGTGTGTGGTCCTGCTTGAAAATGTGTACGAGGCAAAAATGAGAAAATGTAACAGGATTTGTTCTTTGACTAGACCTTGCTGGGTTTACCCTCTTAGTTCTAGACTTGCCATATACTAAGAATGTATGGAATTGTTTGGTTGGAAAGGTTGGAAGGACCTTTAAAGACCATCCAGTACAGCCTTCCCATCACAGGCAGGGACATCTTGCACCAGATCAGGTTGCTCCAAGCCCTGTTCAACCCGGCCTCGGACGCTTTCTTTGGTGGAGTGTCCACCAGGCACCGTCCCCGCAGGGGATCCTGGGTGACCCCCCCAAACCTCTGCAGCCCTCACCTGAGCCGTGAATCCACTGTGGAAGGCGAACCAGACCTGGGCCATGAGTCCAGCGAAGGTCTTGTAGAAGAAGAGGCGGAGGAACTTGCAGATGCGCAGGTAGGCCCAGCGGCCGTGCACGAGCAGCAGCCGCTGCAGGTGGCAGAACTGGGCCAGGGCGTAGTCGCTGCACTGCACGGCCTGCAGGCCCTCCAGCCCGCTCAGCCCCACCCCGACGTCCGCGGCTGGGGGGGGAACACACGTGGGGAGTCTTTTTGGGGAGCTGG